TCTAACATTCTGTGATTCTGTGAATATTCGATAACATGTAAGGGTTTGTCTCTTTGCACGTTGCTATGTTTCTTGATACCCTTGTGCTTCAATTTCGTTTCCCCTTTTCTCCAGAAGAGTTCAGACTTCAGAGAAAAGGTGGTGAATCTGCACACTGTGAGTGTAACTTCCTGCCTGGGAGCAGAGATTGCTGAAGGAACAATGCTGACTCAACACAAAACCCAGCAGCCTTTCTTCCTTGCCACTTCTAAAATTTCAGGCTATGCCTTGCCAAGTGGAAGATGCTGGAACACATCTTTGCAGTCTTCTGATTTTCTTTCCCACTCTCTGGGCTTCAATGGCATCTGCTCAGACAAACATAGAAACACAGAGATGAAACTGACCTTAGCACACTTTACTCTTTTTCAGCCTCTCTCAGCAGATCATCAATAACAGTCCTTCACCAAACACTGATCCTTCTTCAGAACAGACCTAGTTCCTTTTCCCATGTTGCAATCGTACTTGTTGCCTCCCGGTAGCTTTGGAGGTGCTTGAGATGTTGTATACAGCAGAACCACATGACATTGCTCCTTTCTAAATAATAAATACGAATATATTTTTCCATCCAGGCATCTGCAGCACCTGAACAAGGAAGCAAGGAAAGTTGGAAAGTTCAGGGTGCAGATCCAAGCACTCCTGTGTTGGGGGGTACCAGAATGTTTTACTCCAGCTTCAGTGCATCTGTCTTTGCGTATGCGACATAATTCACTGAGTAATTGACCATCTGCTGCTTTGTTGAGGCAGCCCTCTCTTTCCTCCCACCTTCCTCGGGTCTCAGTGTTCTTCTCAGGCTCCCATTCTTTCCATGTTTTTGGTCTAGCTGTACCTGCTGGCCTTAAGGTCCCACTGTTTTACTGTTGTAATTCTTTCTCTGCTCCAATTCCTTGGGTACCTTTTCAGATCCAGTGAGTTGCCCATTTCCATCTCAGTCAGAACAATAGAAGCAGGATCCCACATCTTCATGTAGGTGTCCAGGGTTTTCATTGCTGACAGCAGCAGCAATTTGCAGGGAAAAACTTACTGCAAATACGATATTGAGGAAGTTATCCCAAACCAGACTCTCCTGAAGATATGGGAACTGGGATTGTTCAAAGACCATATGCAAAAAGGGATGTAAACATTCCCTGAGAGTGTGTTTTCTCTTCCCTGCCCTCTACATGTTTCTAATGCTTTTACCTATCATAAAAGAGAGAGGTTTTTCAAAGTAAAAATCAGAATTTTGTCAGAATGCCTGAAGGGTTTGCACTTTAGGGGGTGCAAACTTTCACAGATTAGTGGGATGAAAAATGTGGCAGTATTCCTTCTGAGTTCAGTTTTCATCTTTAGCAATAATTGAAAATTCACAATTTTACAGTTACAGGTTGTATTCTTCCTAGAGATGTGTGGTTCTAGGAACTCTTTTCAGAATTTCCTCAGTTGTTGTTGTCAGTTTGAGTACATTGCTCCTGCATACAGTTAGGAATGGAGCAAAAGAAGGGACAGCTGCCTCCTGAAGAACACAGGTCCTACTTTCTACAGCTTTTCTCTTTGCTTGGAACAGCAGACATGGGAAATTCTGTTCCTCTCTGATTACAAGGTCATGGTTACTTGATTTGCATGCTGTTCCAGCCAATTTTTCACAGTACTGCATTGCGCTCTGGCTTTTTTAATCATTTATTGATATAGACAAATCTTTCTCTTCTTTCTTACCTTTTTCCTTTTTTTACAGTAAAGAGACATTCATGTCACCTTCTTCATAAAAGTAATGATCCTGAATTAAGGTATGACTCCAAAAATCCTCACTAAAATGTTACCTCTTAGATCTTATATTTCCATGGAAGAGAAAACGTTTATACATTAGAGAAACTAGCTTAGAAAGCAAAGTTTATTCATCAATGTATTATTTCAAAATTACTCATGTGACATGATACAGTTCCTTATTTGCAGCTCAGAACTTCCTGTATCTGTCGGGTCTTAAAAAACGAAAAGGATTTGTCAATCTGGTTCAGTGAAGAAAAATTTTTTGCAAGGCACAGATTGGTCTTCAGCATCAAATTGCGGTGACAGGGAGAAGGGAGTGAAGCATTTGGCCATGGCTGTCTTCCTGCTCCTGATTTTTCTCTGTTCCTTTAGTTCATCTCTTCGAGTGTCTGGTAAGTATTTGTCCTCTGTTGAGTATGGAAGTTTGCAAGTTCTTTCTCACGCTTTCCTGACGTCCTCTTTGGTGGACAGTGAGTTTAGATTTAGTCACAGCATGTACTTTGAAACAGTTTAATTCAGCTCTTAAATTTGGTGGCATCTGTATAGGCCTTCTGTTTTCTTAACCCAGTTTGCAAGGCTGTATATGAGTGAAAGAAATACGCCAACAGATGTGGACATAACCTAGGCAGTGCTGATTCTTGAAAACCAGCCAGCTGGATGTGGACAAAAGCTGATCTGAAGTTACTCCATGGAAGGTTAGAACAGCTCAGATGTACAGGGCAGTGTCCTCTCAGCATGCACAGAACCATGCATTGATATGTGCTTTGAGTTTCTTAAACAGCTCATGTAGACAATGGCAAACTGATCGTTGCATATGGGAATCCCATTTCCACGCTGACAGCTTTAGGAAGGACCTTAAAAGATTCTGTCTGACAGCTTTCAGACGCTCCTACTGCTGAGAAGAAAACAAGTGCCGCTGTGTCTGCAGCTCTTTCCGCCAGGAAGCTCCCAGTTAGACAGCTGTGAGTGTCCAGGGCTATTGCTTGAATGGCAGCAGGGACTAGCCAACACTGATCTAATTCACTACAGGAGGATTTCTTGTGTACGTGTTTTTGGATGAGACAAAGTTGGCTCTAACCCATCCTCTCCTAACCTTCTGAAGAATCACTGCAGCAGGAGAGCTGTGGCAGGACAAATGCCACCTGGCTGGTTCAGGCTCACAGCCTTTTAGAGAAACATCCCCAAGGCTCTCCAGCTACTCCCTGGCATCTCTGAGGTGTGAGGGATTATGAAGCCCCATTTAACTCTTCCAACCCTGACAAGAAACCTTGGGTGTCAGTAAAGCCCAATGACACAGCAGAGTGAGTTGGATGATGTTGCTGTCACTTAGAAGGGAGTTGTGGGATGCAAAGTGAGCTGCAAAAATTGTCAATGTTTGTAGCAGGCTGAAGTTGTGGCCCTTTTTTGAAGTTGGTCTTAAGAAACAAACCCCTGTTGTGCAGTGTTTCACGTTTCTATTTACAAGTGTAACTATTAATGGCACCTAGGTCACTTAGTTTAACTGTGCTCAGAACTTAAGTGATGATGCTGCAAGTTGCGGCTTCCCTCCTGAGAAACTCACAAGTTGCACTCTGTGAAGAAACAACTTTTTGCACAGTTGCCAAAAATTTCCAAAATAATTAACCAAAAATGAAAAATACCTCACTTGCTTGATGATCTGAAAACCACCGTGTCATTCTGGCTAAATATAAAAATGGTTGAATTTTGAGTATATAAAACTTTTTAAATAACTTTAAAGCAAGAAGTCTTTTTACTTGCAAAATTAAAGCCTGTTTAATATGCTGTGTGATGATAGAACTTTGAAGAACTCATTAAATTTAATATAGGTTATTTTTTAATGGCATTTTGAGAACAGTGTGCTTTAAGGAGGGATGTGAAGAAAAGCAATTTCTCTTGAAGAGCTATAGTTTCAGCTTCTGTATTGCTTGCATCTTAAGAACATGTTAATGAATATCCTTCATACTTGATGATGAACTTCCCTTTATTTCTTTTTCTATATACTCTGTACGTTCAATTTTTTATTGTAGCAGACTGTCAAATCACAAGTAACTGACTTACCAGCTACGAAATCTCTCCTCAGATGTTTGCATTCTCATTTTATTTTATAGAGAGCAGAATATTTTCAATCTATAATGAAGACAGCAAGCTCTGTGCCCAAGCTCAAAACTCTAGCTCTGTCATCACTACTGCTTGTGACGAGCACAATGAGTTTCAGAGGTTCAGGTGGGTCTCTGCCACACAGCTGCTGAGCATGGCGCTCAAGCTGTGCCTGGGAGTGCTCAGCAAGGACGACGAGGCTGCCATCACACTGGAATCCTGCAACAGGACAAATGAGCTCCAGTGGTGGGAATGTAGGAATGAGATGCTTGCAACCCACGGCAAGGATTTATTTGTCAACTATGGCAAAGGGAAGGGGAAGAAAATCAGGTTGTCCAAATTCGTGAGCAAAGGGAGCAGGTGGAAAATCCATGGGACTGCAGACAGCGTGTGCTCCCAGCGCTATGACGGTGAGTACTGAAAATTGATCTCTATTTCTAGGTAATTTTGCTGCCCCTATTTACAAAGCGTTCCACAGTCTGCTTGTCATGCAGCAACCTTTTTCTTATGGTGACATCAGCAGCAGAGCTGACTACAAATAGGATGTAGAAATGCAAAGCAAATATGACTGTATACATTTCTGCATAGCTTGGAAAGTGCAATTCTGTCAAAAGAAATAATAAAATTACAAAGGCCTGTGATGTAATCATATAGGAGAACGGGAATTCTGTTCATATAGCAACAGCAAGAAGAAATCTATGACTGTTTCGAAACATGACTGATCAATTTGTAGAATTTGACACAATGGTGATTGTGTCATATTTAAGCATTTATTGTTGCTATTACTTGGTTTGACCATGTATTACCTCTAAGGAATTAATTTCTAGTTAACATGGATGTGATCCACTTTTAGCAGTGTTTACCTGTGTTTCCCAGGCCTAGCAAGAGGAAAAAGTAGGAAAAAGCAAAAGGAAATACAGTGCTTTAATGGTTTAGGGTGCAATAAGGCCTAACACCCTGACAAAGGAACCCTGGAGAGTCAGATCTCCTTTTCCTGCATTATTCTCTCTCTTGGACTATGTAGAGTGGGCATCTAGGATCAAGTGTTCAGCCTCCTTTTTACCATGACAGTTAGGGAAGTTAAATAACAAGGGATGAAATTTTTTGCTGTGCCCTACAGTAGTTCCAGCTGAAATTAAGTTTGCCATAATTTTGCTCAGACTGTATAGAGATGGCAGGTTCACTTCCCAGCAGACGTACTTGCAAATTGAAGATATAACTTCCTCTCATGAAGACCAATAAAAATAGTCTGATATCTCCTTCCCAAGCCTCTTTAACCATACAGGGGAAAAAAAGAAAGATCCTAAACATCATGGTGCATCAATGGGAGAAACTGAGTCAAGAGCACCTCTGACACAGTAGTCCAGATGATAGCAATGAAAAGAAAAAGACAGAAATTAGTCTGAGGGGCAATCAAGGGTTGTCTGAGAGTCTTAATTCTAATTGTCACAACAGCCTTGGAAGACTATGTAGTAATGAAGTGCTGATGCACTGAACTCTTGCACAACTGAGGTGTATCCACAGAGATCTGCCTATGAGCAAACACTGCGGTGATCATCTGATACTAGCTGACTACTATTGCTTTACGTTTCTCTCTGTAGATGTCTATACACTGGGAGGAAATGCCTTTGGTGCACCCTGCGTGTTCCCTTTTAAGTTCAATGGTAAATGGTACGCTGAGTGCATCCCTCAGAGCGACGATGCAGGCTCTTTCTGGTGTGCAACTTCTTCAGATTTTGATAAAGACCAATTTTTTGGAAACTGTCCACTAAAAGGTAATTTATTTATAAAGATTTCAGGAAAGGCATTAAGCAAAAGTTTCATCCACTCTCATGGTCAAAATCTCCTTGGGGTGTGGAAATAGCATTGGACAGTAAGCTGGGTTCTGTCTAGACTAGTTCACTGGTGAGCTAGGTAATGACGAAATGAGGAGTCTGCTCTTCCCTCTCACCGTTTCTCCAGCTGAGATGAGTAGTCCTGCAGGGCTCCCAAGACTGGCACATGTGGTGAGTATTGTGAGGGTGGTGACTGGGACTGATGGAAAAAGGAAGAGAAAGCCCCTAGGACTAGATGAGAAGAAAGTCGGGGCAAATGAAAGGCAGAAGGAAGTGCAACGGATGATGAAGGCGAGATAGGGAAGCAGGAGACAGTGGTGTATCATAGGATGGGGCAGAGAGCAGGAGGGCTGGAGTGAATGGAAGGGTGTAGGACATGGGCAGTAACCTGTACCTGCCTTCAGTGCTCCAGTGCTCCTTACACCCACAAATCACCCAACACAGCTTTCCAGTAACCCCAGCACAAATACCCTACCCCTTCAGCCCCAGTTCACAGCTGACTGGGAATGATCCTTTCTGTCATGTTGGGAGGTCTGGGAGAGCATAAGAGGGGTCCCAAGGCAAGAAATGGGTGCGGAGACCAAGATTTTCTGTATGGAGAATAGGGAAATGTGTATGTATGGGTGGAATATGTCAGTGAGTGGGTTAATGTGGGCTGAACTGGGAGAGAAGTAGGTGAGTTATATAAATTAAAATGAGCAGCATGAATGCAGAAAAATTAGATTTGTAAGGATCAATAATACCTTATGTTATTAATGTGTTATTGAATGGACAAAGTACATAAGTGGTGCGAACTGTGTGTAAAACTTAGTAAATCATGCAGTTGCATAGTTTTAGTCTGCAATGAAGATTTTATTTTCTGCATTAGCATGTATGATTATCTTGCCAAGTTGCTGTGATCATATTTTATAGACACCATCCACAATGACCTTTGGAAAACAAATCCTGTGACAGGAACCCACTATCAGATAAACTCAGAGTCTCTTTTGACATGGCACCAAGCAAGAAAAAGCTGCCAGCAGCAGAATGCAGAATTATTAAGTGTCACAGACCGTCATGAAGAAATGTATTTATTAGGTAAAGTAACAAAAAAAAAAAACACAAACCCAAAACACCAAACAAATTAATGGATATGGTTAAAATGCAGGTCACTTCCAAGAGCTTTAACCTGGATACTTACATTGACCTTATGAAAATAAGTCTTAGTGACATTCTTAAAAAAGCTTGTCACTTTCTCACAAAAAATGTATTAAAATAGTAGAAAAAATCAAACCTACCTTAAAAAAAATCTCCGATGACACTTTTTCCACACTTGAAGTTTTATTTCAAGTTTTATTGAATAACTTACAAAATCAGAAGTATTTAGTAACTTGACTGTTCATTTCTTTTGGCCATTTAGGGCTCACTAGTGACCTGGGTGTCAATGTGAAGCTTTGGACTGGTCTTTTCAGTGCACTTAACAGTGGCTGGCAATGGATTGGGGGCAGTCCTTTCAGATACCTAAACTGGGCTCCAGGTAAGTGCACCTTCCTGAAACAATGATCAGTGTCGGAACCAAAATTCTCTTCTTTTCCCCATATTCCTGTTTCCTAATTCCTTTGATTTCATGTAATTTTCACAGGTTACAAGGGATTATGGGAAAAGTGGGATATTACAGTAATAGGGATCACATCAGAGATGGATCATCATTAATTCTGAATTTCCCAGAAAAAGTAGACAGTTCACCCAAGGAAAGAAGTATCTACACCTCATTCTATTTTTTTTCCATCTACAATTTTCTCATCAGACACATAATTCAAAGCAAAGAAAAAACTCATGAAGAATTATATAAAAAGAATTTAAAGAAAAGAGAAAAAAACTAAGAGAAACACTGCATAGAAACTATTTTCAGTTGTTTTTCTCAGTTACTGCTTATGACATTTATCTGATTTACATTACCTTAGTAAGTAAGTTTCTACTCTCTTCTTAGGATCTAAGTCACTGTCTTGCATGTTGTTGTATTATGTATTTTCATAATAGCTGTTGTGATTAGAGGGAAATCCAAAGGGTGAGCACTCCTCTGGAATGAAATTTGCATTTTATGTCCAGTGTTTAACAGTAAAGGATGCTGATTTGTTTGGAATACTACCACCCCATAAGGAACTTATATAAAGGCTTTGTTTGTATAAAGTTTTTTCTGCATGTTGCAGAACTTCAAACACACTGAATTTCCTCTTAAGCAGTGCATGGGAGAAGAGTAAGTCTCATGTCTGAAACATTGGCCCTCTTGGCCATTCCAGTGGTGCTCCCTCATCTCCTCTCTTGGGAATTATCACTCTAATGAATAATATGCCACTGGCTTTGCAGCTGCAAAAGACTTGTGTGTTCCCTCCTGTGATGAGGTGAAAATTTTTAGTGTTAACAGAGGGATTCTCTGTATGTTGTGCCTCTTTCCTAAAGGAAATCCCTCTATGGAATCTGGAAAAATATGTGGGACCTTCCAAGGTAGGAACGGCAAATGGGAAAACCAGGTGTGTGATCGGAAACTGGGATATATCTGCCAAAAGAGAAACTCTTCCTCAGATTTCTCCCCTATTGCCTCTGGTAAGTTGGTCAAAAAAAAGGTTACTTTTGCTGTGAGTGAGAAATACTGGGAGGATGCGATATACGAAATGACAGCATATTGTCAAAACAAAAGGGTTACACTTGTTGACCTGGGGCAAACACTGAAAAGAATTTTCTGTGTCATTTTAAAGATGATGTCTAGATGTTGGTCATCATTTTGAAAAGATCCCAGGGTACTAAAGAAGGCAGGATTGTGTGTTTAGTTATGTTATCCAGACCACAAAGTACTGATGAATATCCTGTGCTCTGAAAAACACACTAAAGTTGTGTTCTGCAAAAAGATGTGAGCTAGAGTTCATGTTCCCCCTGCTCTCTCTGACCCTTTTTGCGCTATTCTGAAGGAAAAATTCAGAATATGGGACTGGCACCTTTTCCCAATTGGGTTCACTTTCCACCTGAGGAAAAGGTCTTAACTATGTGAAGAAAATGGTGTGCAGTTACATCTCTTGGGTACTCCCAGCACACTACTAACTCTAAAGTAACTCACTCAACTATATATGTGCTAGTATATAAGATTATTCTCTGGCTAGGACAATGAATGGCACATCATAGCTGCATCTTGTACATTCTGTCTGCATCCAGACAACTTACTGGGATTGATTTCTGACCTGTGCTAAGCTCTGAACCATGCCTGGGTGTTGTTTAGGGGAATGCAAGTTTGCACAGGTCAAAACCACGTACAAGGAACATTGGACAACGTGGCTGATCACATGTCAGTGATGTTGGGTGTTTCAGTTTACTTTATAGGTGGAGATTATGTGAACCTTCAAAGAAGTGAAAAATGGTTGAACAAAGTGTGCGGCATTTCTGTGTAGCTGGGATTTCTGGCATGCCTGGTATAACATACATGTGTCTGGGCTCTCTGCTATATGATTTGGGCTGTGCAGGAGCTCTAACTGGCTCCTGAGTACCTGGTGTTTGCAGAGAAAAAAATATACAAAATTCTCTAAAATTCACCAAGATAAAGTCCCAGTGTAGGAAAAGAGACCTTGTTCTGTAACATGTGGCTGTACTCAGAGCCTCCCAGAGCAGGGAGATTTAACACGGAGTTGTGTCCTGCAAGTTTACATGCCAAATTTCTTAGTATTTATTTAATCCTATAAAAGAGTTCTTTGGTAGCTCCCAGCATTATAAAGATGGAAAAATCTTGTTTGTACTCTCTGTGATCCTCAGACTTTTACTTCTCTCCTCTGCCCGTATCTACTCCAGTATTTCAAATTCATGTCAGTTCAGGTAATATTCTTTTTGATTTAAAGAAAGCACTGAACAGGACTGTTCATTAATTCTTTGTAATGATTTTTTAGGTGACTTAAAGCCTGTTAAGTGCCCCAGGGGATGGATGGCCTATGCAGGTCATTGCTATAGAATTTACAGAACACCCAAAATATGGAAAGAAGCCCAGTCTTCCTGCAGAAAAGTAGATGGAGAGCTGGCGAGTATTCATAATATTGAGGAGTACAGTTTTACAGTGTCTCAGCTTGGGTACAGTGAGTATTCCTGCAGGTCACTTTTTTATCTGGAATTATACTGTTGCTATTCATTTAATCATTGTAATTGTGATCTTAAATGTCTTTTAAAAAGTCCTTCTTCGGTCAAAAGTGGGTGTGAGGTGTGACTGTTCCATTTTGAAGACACACCACAATTGCCTTTGTGTTCCCAGAGCCAGATGATGAGCTATGGATTGGTCTAAATGACTTCAAGGTTGAAATGTATTTTGAATGGAGTGATGGGACACCTGTGGTTTATACCAAATGGCATCACGGAGAGCCAGCTCACACACGGAATAAGGCAGACTGCATCGTTATGAAGGGAGAGGTAAAAATCACTCTCCTGCTTTCATATTTTCTTTTGTCCTTTGTGTCCCCAAAAAGGAAAACATCTGTGACAAAAAAATGAAAAAAGATTAAAAAGAGACAGGGGTTTTAAAAGTTTTTATGGTTTAATACAGAATATTTTAGTGTGGAGGGAGACTGAAGACCAGGTCTAGGAAGGTGTATGGTGGAGCACCAGAAGCAGTGCCCAGTGCTGAGACTTGAAATGCTCTGTGACAGTCACAGATGTCTCCTGTCTGAAGTTGGTTGAAGTAATGTCACCCACATTCAACATGACTGCTCATAGCTGTATAGCATGATTCTTAGAGCAGGGACTTTCTTATGTTTCCCCTAAACCACCTTAAATATATGAGCTGTTTTGGAGGCTCATATTACTGGAAGCACAAAAAATTAGGTACAAAAAAATCCTAACTTGTTTTGTACTCAGCATAAAATGACATATCATAATACTATGGAAAAAGACTTCAGCAATGAATGTTTCATATTTTATGTTTAGTTTATCCAGCATTTCCTTGCTATTGTCATTTGGTTACATGAACGTAATAAATAATCCGCTGATGAGAATAAAGTGGAACAGGGTGTTTCCTTCCTGCTCTCATCAGACACTGAACTTTTAAGGCATGTAACCCTCATCCTCACACCTCTGAGGAGATGGGGCCCTCACTGTCTTTTTTATGTTGCCTATTTGGTAGTTTTGGAGAAAGCCCCAGGGCAAGGAAGAGACCTGAAACACCTCAGCCATGTGAAGGGAGAAGGGTTCTCTCTGAGGATGGTGAATATTCCTGTCAGATCTGGATTTTCTCTAGATTTCACTTCTCTTTGTCGTTTCTTTCTGCCATGCTCAGGATGGATCTTGGGCTGACAGCGCTTGTGAAACAAAACTTGGTTACATCTGCAAAAGGAAATCTTTGGCAGAGGAACCAGGGGAAGCTGAGGTTATTTACCCAGGCTGCCAGAAAGTAAGTGTAAAACAAAAGCAGCGAAAGGTTGTTGCATCTTACTTTCACTCCCATGATGGTGACTGTTACAGAAGTCAATTATTTTGACTGTTCTTGGTGGAGCCCTAGAAGACTCTTAATTTGCATGTATGGACACTTCTCAGACTAATGGGGAATTTTTTTATTTATTCAACCAAAATGCAGATCAGCTTATTTTGAACAGTGCAGGACTGGTCACTTCACCCATAAAAGCCACTCTCTGCAGAGCATGTCAGTATTTTTTCTTATCACTGGTCTTGGGACCCACGCAGCCTTCTTGGTTCAAACAGTCTGCCACAGGAGGCAGGAATGTTTGAGCTGATTGTTTTGCAGATTGTATGTAGCCTCTTGTGACAGCTATGGTTACACAATGAGAAGGCAGAGCAGGCTTTACCCAAAGAGCTGCAGAGTGGCTGTGAGCATCCTTGCCAGCTCCAAGCCATAACCAGGGCTCACTGCTGGCAGAGACTCCCTGCATGTCCTTTATCAAGGGGCAGGGCACAGAGCTGTGGTTACAAAAGCTATGTTTGATCACCCTCTTCATTTCTTCTCATGATTTCTGAGATTAATTTTGACTTGGGGTATGGTATTAATGTGGCTTTTGGAAGTGTGGCATGCTGCGCAATCTGACAGCTCCTCTGTGCATCTCTGCTTTGACACTGGCAGGGCTGGATGAAGCATGGCTTTTACTGTTACTCCATGGGGCAGTTGCCAGCAACGTTTTCAGAAGCAAAAAAAATCTGTGAAGAAAATAAAAGTTACCTGGTTACTGTGAGAGACAGGTATGGAAACATAACTCTTGTCCTTTCATTCATGCAGCTAGGACAGAAGGTCCAAACAGAAATCTCTTCGTACTTTGCAGTTATTTATAGTGTCTCATGTGGCACCACTCCCTTGCTGGAAAATTTATGGTAGAACCGAAGAAGTATTACAAAATACATCAGAGGTTTGTATGTCACCAGGAAAAACATTTAAACCTTTGCTACTATATACCTACACCACTGTTGACCCCAGGAATTAAAAAATTGAGTCAACCCTGCCCCCAACAACTCTGAATTACCACATTGTTTTAAAACTTTTTGAGATAAAAATAGATACATATACATAGAACTGTTTATTTCTTCTGGATTGGAGCTTTGCAGCCTTTTCTTTGTAACAGGCAGATCTGGAAACTTGCACTTTTTAGAATAAAAGTAGATTTTTTTCCCCCCGAGTAACAAGATTTAAAGATCTAGGCCTTATCATAAAGCTCAGTAAAACACTATCACTTATTTATACAAAATTAATAACATATATGCATTAATACAAGTAATTTTTTGGTTTATGGTGTTCCTTGTGCAGTACAAAAGGAGAAAGGAATCACTCTACATTCCCACATGTTAACAGATCACCTTAACTTTACCAGATTTTCTTCAATGAACTGTTTGAAGAAATGAACAAATTACCATAAAATGTGATACATTAGTTTGGTACTTATTCTTCACAGATATGAACAAGCTTTTTTGACTTCTGTAATTGGATTCAATCCGGCAAAGTATTTCTGGATTGGTCTCTCAGACGTGGAGGAACAGGGGACGTTCAGGTGGACCAGTGGGGATGTGGTCACCTTCACTCATGAATGCCCGGTAGGTGCCACAGGAGCCACCAAGTTCCTGCTCTGGGGACCCAAGAAGTGAGAGACTGGAAGCTAAAAAGTGGTTTAGAAACTCTTCTGGCATAAAGCAGCAGAAATGACAGTGCAACTTTCTGTTTGTGCTGGAGGGATTCAATCAGGGATCATGGTAACTCCTTCCAGTAGACCAGCTGGGACAGCATGTGTCTGTTGGTCTCATTTGCTCTTTGTTGTTCGATGGTTTTGATAAGTGATTCATAGTATAATGTAAAAAGAATTTCATAAAATTTCTTTTTATGATTTAACTGAAATGCATGTGAGTCACTGTGAGCGATTGGCATCTGAACACAGTGGGGACAGGTTACTCTTAAGTAAGTAGCATATGCTTTGAGAAGATGAAGCTATTTATCAATAAGGTTTAAAAATTTTGTTTCATAAAGGAAGTGAGTCAGGCTGTGTGGCCATGATAACAGGAACTTCAGCTGGATTATGGAATATTTTGAATTGTGAAGAAACAAACATGTTTCTCTGCAAGCAGCTGGTGGAGGGAGTGACCCCCCCCCCTCCTCCAACGACGACCCCTCTCCCATCGTGCCCAGAGGGATGGCAATCTGTTCCTCAGAGCAGCTCCTGCTTTAAAGTAGGTCTTTAATTTCTGAATGCAAACGCTTGTCATTTGAAATGAGAATATGTTCCGTGTATGCATGGAAGGTAGATTTCACCCTGTCTGTCTGATAGGTAGTCTGTGGTAACATCTCTCCAGCCATCCCCTGATGTGTCTGGGAAGAGCTGGAAAGTGCTGTACATAGGTTCAACTGAAGTTTGGAGTCACAGAGACTCTGAGATAATAGGAAATGCAAAGTTGCAATAATCAAATTTAATAGATGACCGTGGGCTTATGGTTGCACAGTTAAATTGTAAGTCATAAAACTGGAGATCAGGAGACCAGAAGAAAGATAGAAACCCAGAATTCTGTTTCTAAATTTCTGTTAATACCCAGCAAAGTATTTCATTGTCCACTTTTTATAGATTTTTCAGGGAGGAAGGGAGAAAATGCAAACATGGTTTGGTGCGAGAGATTTTTGCAGAGCCATTGGAGGAGATCTGGCATGTATACACAGTGAAGAAGAACAAAACCTAATAGCTGGGTTGTAAGTATCGGTAAAGTCCAGTGTTTAAATATAGGAAAGAAAAAACATTTTAAAAGTGACCTTTCTGAAAGACATAAAGAATTTCTGGTGATCTATTTCTACTTTGCAAAGACAGTGTATATCCTTGCAAAGTGACAGAGGGAAATGGGTAGAAAGAGGTGAGCAACAGTGTTTCCTGGCAGACCTCTGGGAAGGTGATGCTATGCATTGAAGTAACCTGAATGTGGATCATTTTGATGGATCATCAAAATGGGTTTCAACTGCATTTAGTTCAAACCAGTAAAACCAATCTTTTTAGCTTATATGTAGTTGATCAGTAGACGAAATACTCTTGATTAAAAGAATAGTTTGTGTTGCTTTCCTTCCTTAGTTGAGGGGAAAAAATGGGAGATTAAGGAAAGCCTGACCTATTCATGTGCTTATATAAGTGTTTAAATCAAGCCTATGAGTACAGATAGGTCTGAATTTGGATGCCTAAGCTGCTTGGAGGAACAAAGACCCTAAAATACATTTTTGTTTGACTCCATTTTAGTGGACTCATGACACCTGTGATCTTTCCCATGAAGCTCTGTGTTTCACTGCTTCCTGCCACGTGCAGTGCCAGGGTGGTTTTCCCCACATGACAATCGAGTGATCACTTTATATAACCATCTCAAATGATATTTAAAGCATCAGAACATTGAGAATAATGTAATGATATATATATATATTCTTCTCTATTTCTATTTCTGATTGTCTATATTTGTAATCATTCAGAAAGAGAGATTATATTCATTTATCTTACTGGATGGGTTTAAGTGCCTTGGACTCTGACAGTGGATTTATATGGAGTGATGGCTCACCAGTGAGTAAATAATTTCTTGTTCCACTTTTTGGCTGATTTTCCATGTATGTTTTGGCAGACAGCTCTCACAACTCCTCCTATACAAACTGCAAGTGACCTTAAGTCTTTACTACCCAGTTCCACTCTAGAAATTAGTTTTTATCTTTTGGTAGTTCATAGTTATACATAAAGTATAACATTTTAGAGTAACAAAATAACACTAAAGGTGATGGAATATCTCTCTTGATCTAAGCAAATCTGGTTGTACTAATATCAATATTCCCATTTGTTATTTACTATTAGAAATAATTTTATATGTCTACACAAGCTGGGCTTTATTGCCCTTGCTGTCTAAGTAGATCAAGGTCTACAAGGCCCAAGTCCATATGGCAGCACTGATACATTGTCTCAGGTTGAAACATCAGAGCAGGATAACCAACCCAAGGGGCAGAGGACTATACTTAGATAATCCTTTCTATAGCTTGACAGGATAGCTTGACAGGAGAACTTAACCTCTTCTGGTAACAAAGAGGGCAACAACTTCTTGGCTTACTAACATGGCTTATAAATACACAGAGGAATCATTATGATATGCAAGGGTCATGCCCTTTTCC